CAGCCTCCTGCGTAGCTGGGATTATAGGCACGCACCACCATGCCCAGCTAATTTTTTTTTTTTTTTGTATTTTTAGTAGAGACGGGGTTTCACCATGTTGACCAGGTTGGTCTTGATCTCTCGACCTCGTGATCCACCCGCCTCGGCCTCCCAAAGTGCTGGGATTACAGGCTTGAGCCACCGCGCCCGGCCTGAAAGCAAAATTTTATTTTATACTGCTGATTTTGAAACTTCACCTGGGTCTTCAGCATAAGCAAAAGAAAGATAAAGTGATAAGGAATGAGAAAATCAGATATAAAATGATGGAGACTGTCATCATTTAAACCATCATATATTCCATGGTTTGGTTGTCCCTGCGAAATCACATGTTGAAATTGATCTCCAACTGGGCAGTGTTGAGAGGTAGGGCTTACTGGGAGGTGTTTGGGTCATGGGAATCAATCCTTCATATATAGATTAATGCTTTCATGTTGTTGGGGTGAGATGGGGTGGTGAATTTTAGCTTCAGCAGGAATGAGATTGTTCCAGAGAACACATTGTGGAAAAGAGTCTGTCTTTCTGGTTTCTCTTGTTTTCTCTCTCACCACGTGATCTCTTTGGACCCATCTTCTCCTTCTCCACTCCCTGCCATAAATGGACTCAGCCTGAGTCCCTCACCAGGTGTAGCTGCCCAAAGGTAGACTTTCAGCCACCAGAATTGTAAGCATAATAAAATTCTTTCTTTTAAAAGACCTCAGGCATTCTGTTACAGAAACATAAACTGTAATAAACCAATGTACATATTAAATTACTAAATCAAAGGCTAAATTAAATTACTAAATCATATTAAATTACTAAATCAAAGTGGATAGTACAATGATGTACTATCCACTCCATAAGTAATTATGGATCTTATTTACATTTGAAAGAATAAGGAGATAAATAATGTAGAACTGTATAGTAAAATGAGATACCCATGTCTCAAAAAAAAGTGAGAAAATGATAAAAATAATTTGCAGCATAGCTGCAGAATAAAGGCAGACTGAAAAATGAAGGTATGTCTTCAAAAAAACAAGATAGAGAAAATGATAAAAAAAAAAAAACTTGAGCATACCCATAAAATAAAGGTGGATTAAAATGTGAAGACATTATATAATCTGTAATATTCTCAACCCCATGAAATCAGGGTTCAATCAGTAATGTAAAGCCTTTCATTGAACTGTTAAGCTAAGAGCTAGACCTCCCTAAGCTATGGTAGCTTATTTAAAGGCACTTGACAGCCATGATTGAACCAAAGGAAAGTTGAGTCTTGAGTGTGTGCCCACCTGGGTGATTGGGGAAAATGTCAAAGCCAGAACACATGGCTTCAGTTTTTTATACTTCCTCTGCCCAGTGTCCTCACATAGCCTCATTAAATCTCTCTCTCTCTCTCTCTCTCTCTCTCTCTCTCTGGCTCCACTATGAACTGGCTGGGGTGTCTGTCTCACATACTCAGAGTAGCTGAGAACCACCATGGCTCTCCAAACTAAGACTAGGAGCCACAGCAAGGTTTGCAATCTTTAGGTGAAGTGGTATAGTTGTTGGGGGAGGTGAAGCTGGAAGAATACCCTTGGTGATAAGGAATCCAGTGAAGACACTGTGGGTTGTTAGGTACTTGATTGAGTCAATTAGAAAGAGGTGATTTTCATTAATGATAATCAGCATTGAGAAGTGAGGTTGTCTTATCAGAGCTAAGACAAGACTCTGGGTACTGTAGACAGCTATCAAGTAGGTGGCAATAAGAGTATGAGAAGGGGCTCAGGTGATGGCATATGATGTATTTCTCATTTTCATAAGAAGGTCTTTGGAGTAAAAGCCTGTGAGGAGAGGCACACTTGTAAGTGCTAGGCTACCAGTAATAAGGGAAGAGAAGGCAAATGGTAAAGTCACGAGTAATCCTCCTAGTTTTCAAATGTCTTGCTCATCGTTAAGATTATGGATGATGGATCCTGAACATAAAATTAATATAGCTTTAAAAAAAGGCATGGGTGCAGATGTGAAGGGATGCTAGGTGTGGCTGATTAATGCCAATTGTGACTATTATAAGGCCCAGCTGCCTTGAGGTGGAAAATGCAACAATTTTTTTGATATCATTTTGTGTTATAGTGTTGATTGCTGTAAATAAGGTGGTAATAGCCCCTAGGCATGATGTAAAGGCTTGGATTAATGGGTTATTTTCTATGAAAGGGTAGAGGCAGGTAAGCAGGAAAACCCCAGCTGTAACTATAGTGCTGGAGTGGAGCAGTGCTGAGACTGGGGTTGGGCCTTCTGTGGCACATGGAAGTCAGACATGGAGACCGAATTGAGCTGACTTTACTGCTACTGCTAAGAGAAGGCTAATTAATGAAAGGGAGTCGGGCATGAGATTTAGAATATATGCATGTTGAAATTGTCATGTGTTGGAGAATAAGAAGAATCATGCTGTAGCTAACATAAAGCCTATATCGAGGATGCAGTTGTGTAAAATTGCTTGCAGCACTGCTGTTTTAGCATCTGCTCGACCTTATCAATGAATTAGTAAGAAGGATACAGTTCCTACACCTTCTCATCCAATAAAGCATTGAAAGAGATTGTTGGCAGTAACCAGAATTAATATCGCCAAGGAGGAAAGTAAGTAGATATTTGAAGAATTGATTGATGTTAGGGTCTGAACTTCTAGATCATATTGAATTATATCATTACAATGATAACATAATGCTAATTTAATCAGTGATGATATGGCGTGTACTAAATATTGCACCAACCTAATCATCTCTGTCTCTACCTTTCTTAATACCCTATGAGTTAGGTGTGATCTTCAAACATTCATATTAAAAGATGTAGAAGATTCATATTTTGAAAAGTTCATTGTTCTCCAGAGGAAAAGGGCAGCACTTAGAGTTAACTGCATCCAGGTGACCTCTGAAGTTCAGCACTGCAGTGAAGGAGATCCTGACCTTGAGGAGTGCTTAACAGAATTTTTCTGGAAGAATCACTGGGGGAAACATTCATAGAACCCTGGGGTGAGTGCAACTTACATGGAGAATATTATATCTCTCTTCCTTTACAACTAATAAATGACAGTGATGAAAAATATCTAATTATCTTACACCTACTTAATGATATTATTTGTGACACATTATTACTATTTATTTTATGACAGGAGATTATTAATCATTGTTATTTTGTGTATTTCATAATTGTTCAGTATATTTTTTTAAGAATTTTAAATATCTAGTATTTGCTGAAATACATTTGCATGCATTGTGAATATATGGTATTCACAATAAAACATGTCTATACATATAGGCATGTATATATATATATGTGTGTGTGTGTTAATGCGTGTATTAATATTGGTACATTGAATTAAGTAAAAAGAGGTATTTATTGAACACTGTAAATGTTGTGCTTTCATGACCTTAAGCTTTTAGACATGATTTTAAATTGCTAAGGCAATGATGAGATGAAAAATGTTGATACTAAAGGAAATAAGAAGGCTTTCCAAAATACCCTAGCTTAGAAATCAAAACACAATTGTTGAGCAGATAAATGCCTAAGGCATAATTTAATAATTTTGCCTTATATTTCACATAATCTAATGTGATATATATAAATAATTAATTTTTAATTTTATTAATTTTTATTAATATAAAATAATTTTATTTATATATTATCACATTAAATTATGTGATAATATATAAATAATTTCATCTAATTTAATGTAATACTTGTGATTTTAATTGAGCCTTAAAGCAAGCTCTACCCTCTAGAGGGTAGAGCTGGGAATTTGATTAACCACTACTCCTGAGGGTATGAGTTGGGCGTTATTGTTAGGGAAGCAACGCATAGGAGAGCTAGAGTGACACCATAGGAGAGAGAAAAATGGCTTCCATGAAGGGAGTGTTTGCAGAAGGGAACCCACACATGGAGTCCAAAGGTGTGTGGAAGAAGAGGACTTTTAACCTGGGAGGAACCCCCACTTTCTGTAAGATCTCAGGCCAACGAAAGGAGTTCCTTAGAACCGCTGGAGTGGTTGATGTTTTGTGTCTTCCTGCGCCTGGTAACTTTAAACAGAAACCGTTAAATCTCCCAGATGGAGAGAGATGGGAAGGGGGCCGGGTGGTGGGAAGTTCTTGCCCTTGAAACTGTGCCCCCCGGTGGACCTGGAAAGAGAACACATTCTCTCAGTCCTAAGGTGTTTGTTGCTAAGGAAGCAGCTTAGTAATGCCTGAAAGGACAGACTCCAACAACCACGGAGAGTCCAGACGTCCTAAAACTCATAACAGTACACGCTTTCTAGGTAATTGTAGTTATGCTTTATGGTTTCATGTACTCACACAATAAAATGCCAAAGACAGTTTTTTTATAAATGGATCAATAGAAATTATACCCTGAGATAAGAAAAACCTAAAACAAAGATGGCACATTCCTCCTCTTGCTTTCCGAGGGCATCCTACTCTGTAGAAGAGTCGCTTTTGGTTTTTTTTTTTGTTGTTGTTGTTGTTTTGAGTAATTAAAATTAAGCTTGTTATTAGTACCTTGATGCAAGAGAGTTTTCTACAGTGACTCTAAAAGTAGAGCCAGGGTCCTGGCAAGTAAATGAACAAGCTTTTAATACAGCTCAGTTACGTAAAATACTGTACACTGTAAAAGATCTAGAAAAATAGAGCTTCAAGTCATGTTTTTAAAAAAGCCATTAAGCAGGCCGGGCGCGGTGGCTCAAGCCTGTAATCCCAGCACTTTGGGAGGCCGAGGCGGGTGGATCACGAGGTCAAGGGATCGAGACCATCCCGGTCAACATGGTGAAACCCCGTCTCTACTAAAAATACTGAAAATTAGCTGGGCATGGTGGCGTGTGCCTGTAATCCCAGCTACTCGGGAGGCTGAGGCAGGAGAATTGCCTGAACCCAGGAGGCGGAGGCTGCGGTGAGCCGAGATCGCGTCATTGCACTCCAGCCTGGGCAACAAGAGCGAAACTCCGTCTCAAAAAAAAAAAAAAAAAAAAAGCCATTAAGCTTAATTGAAAAACCGATTATAGAGTACAAAACTGCAACAAGAGCCACAGTGATTCCGTGGCATGTAGACCCCAAGTCCATGCAGAGCTGCAGCCAGTCAGTGGAGGTATCACATTAGTGTGCTGTGGACACAAGCATGTCCAGCCCAGGGAGTGGGTCAGGAGCTGCGTTTGGGTCCTGCTGTCACTTGTATTCTTGAACAGGCAGCAGAATATCAAGAACCAGGTGGCATGAAGGATTACACTGGAACATTTCCTCCCGCTTCTACCCCACCCTTCAACCTCTGGCTATTGGTACTTTCTGGGAGCTGTGTTGGCTTCTTGTAAGTTTACTTGTTAAACACCGTCCATGGTAGGGCCTAACAGCTTGGTCTAACGATGGTGATTTCTCTAGCTTGCTCATGTACCACAGCCTCTTATTTCACTGTGTGCTGCAGATGAGCCATTCAGCTGACCTTCTCTCACCATCCCTGCTCTACCCCTTGTGGAGATCTCACATGCCAGTCGCTTGAAATACTCTGGTAGATCAGCATAGTCATTTCCATAGGAGATGACTTTAATCCCCTTGTCCAGCATGTTTTCGCGAAGCTTTTTGAACTCATCTACGTCTCCTCTCCGAACCAGCATGAAATGTTCTAGGTCAGATTTATGCTTGACAGCCTCCAGGAAAAGGGCCTGGAAAGTGGTGTCATCCACAGTCCAGCCACAGCCCAGGAAAAGAAATGACTTGTTTTCGTAGAGTTTCTGAATCTCTCTCATGACTTCGGTGTTCCTCAGTATGTTCTGATATCCCGCTGGATGAAGGACAATGCCACTAGGGTTGGTGTAGACTCCGTGAATATGCAGCACGCTCAGCTTCCGCTTCTCCTGAGCCCACTCTAGGACCTGCACAACACACATATAGCCCAACCAGCTTGGCAGGGCTTTTTCTCATCAGTAAGGTCAAGGGATTCAAGCTGTTTCCCCTGATCTGCTGCATACAGTTCCAGGAGATTGTCAAAATTTGTAGTTAATACAAGGGCTCCATTTTCCATCAGGTGGAGAACTGACTGAAGTAGCTGTTTTCCAGAATCTTCCATTTTTGACTCCAAGTCATCAAATACTTCATATAAACAGTCCTTGAAAAATGTGGATTGAACATTACTGGTACGAGGAGAGAGTTTCTGGATAAGGTCATGGGCAACATGGACAAGGTTCTTGTCTTCATGGAGACATTTCTGAAACTTTTTACTCTCTTCATCTTCTAAAAGATCAAAATCAATGGCAGCATCCAGTAAGGCCTGAATTAACCCCTTCCAGGATTTGAGGGCTGGAACTTGAGGTGCAACTGCAGCACTGATGCCTGTCCCAATCACTAGCACAAGTTCTCGAGGCTTCTTAGTTTTTAGGCTTGGAAGCAGCTTCCTGGGCTTTTTGGTGGGGGGTACGCCATCATTGAAGAATCCAAAAATCTCGTCTATATCAGAGGCCTGGCTCCCTGTAGAAGCCATCCAGTTTCGCGTCTTCTCCAAACGCCACCGCTCCAGCTGCAGCTACCGGCCGGCGCAGCTGCCAGAAGAGTCGCTTTTAATAAACTTGCCTTTTTCACTGCATTTTGCCACTCACCTTGAATTCCTTCCCGCAAAAGATCCAATAACCTCTCTGAGGGTCTGGATCAAGACCTCTTTATCTGGTAACATCATGGACATGCTAACAAAAATTAGAAGCATCATGCTGGCCCAGACCACTGAACTAGCAAGGTGGGAGCATAATAAAAACGTCACAGAAGTGCAAGTGTAGGCTGGGAGAGAGCCAAGCAGGTCCAGTAGCCCTTGAAATATAGCAATCTCCTAACTACCATTTGCCACGTTGTTGATTGCATCCATGGCATATACCACATACAGCAGAACACAGTTATAGGGCTGTAACAGATGGGCAACTGAATCACATGGAGCCTCTCTCTGTCAATCAAGGCACCATATACGTATTGACAGTGTAGTTACTGCTACATGGCAGATGCAAGGTTTTCCTTGCAAGCAAGCAGATCAAGCTAGTACTATGAAAGGTTAAGAGGCTCACAGAGCTGTGTAAAGACAACCCTGGTGCATTGACAGTAACTGACACACTCATTCTGCTGGACATTATATTCAGCACTGGGCCAGAGAACATGGCATAGCATGACACTTTCATGTCCCATAGAACCCCAAGCAGTAGGGTTAATCAAAAGGAAAAATGATCTTTAGAAAGTACAAATTCAAGATTTGCTTGGTAAACCTAGCTTGCATGGATAAATGAATGTATCATCGGCAGTCTTTATTTCTTTAAATTCAGTCAAAGGGGGGACCCCTGAACCATATGACTGATTAGGGCAACTGTTCCTCCTGGTCTACCACCATTCACAGAAGAGTAACTGAGACCATGGCTTTGCTCTCAGACCTGCTGACAAAAAAAGTGTTTTGTGCATGAAGATGCCAATGGACATAGTTCCAGGAGAAGGGTCATTTCACTGAGGCTTAAATGGTGACTAATACTCCCAAGCTGTATAGGCTATTTCCTGCCAGTGAGTGGCAAATATCTTGGACAGTTAGAATGATCCCCATTGATCCCATTGAACACTTTAAATGCCCAAGAGAATGTGTATACCCCGTGGCACAGTGGTGGACTCTCTAATATGCTATACTCTCAACCAGATTGCTTTGATAACTTCTTCAAAACCTGGGTAACATATGGCATATGGTCCCTTTATGAAAGCTGGCTATATAACTGGGTTGAGTCCTTGGATAGCTGGCAGCAGGAGACACTGCTTGGTTTAGATGTCATACTCTCAGGTTTTTCACTGTCCTGCTTTTGTCTTTGCTATTCCTGTGCCATCTGCCCTTGGTGGAGTCAACATGGTGCTGCTAAAATCATACAATATCATACACCCTTCTTCTGGGCCCAGGAACCATGGTCGGAGAGGTGGGCATGTGAGATTAAAGAGGCCAGTTTCAAGGGTGGAATACAAGAAAACAATTTATTGCATGGCAAGAGTAAGGCCATCTTGAAGCAAAGCCATGTAATGATCAATGTTTGACTCCTAAATACCAAGGTGTTCTGCAAAAAGGCCCTAAAGCAATGCCTGTAGCATAGACAACCCTGCTAAAACAAACCCTCCCTGTAACACATACACTCCTGGAGAAACACTGCCTGTAGCATTGATAATCCTCCTGAGAAACCCTGCCTGAAGCATACATAATCCCCAAGAGAAGCACTGCCTGTAGCTTGAATAATACCCCAGAGAAACATTGTCTGTAGCATAGAAAGTCCCACAGAGAAACACTGTCTGTAGCATAGATAATCTGCCTAGAGAAACGCTGCCTGTATCGTAGATAATTCCCTTAGAGAAACACTGCCTGTAGCATAGATAATATTCCTAGGGAAACATTGCCTGTAGCATAGATAATCCCCCCAGAGAAACACGGCCTGTAGCATAGATAATCCTCTTAGAGAAACACTGCCTGTAGCATAGATAATCCCCCCAGAGAAACACTGCCTGTAGCATAGATAATTACCTAGAAAAGTACTGCCTGCACCCTAGATAATCCTCCAGAGAAACACTGCCTGTGGCATAGATGATCCTCCCAGAGAAACTGCCTGTGGCATAGATAATCCCCCTGGAGAAACACTGCCTATAGCATAGATAATCCCCCTAGAGAAACACTGCCTATAGCATAGATAATCCCCCTGGAGAAACACTGCCTGTAGCATAGATAATCCCCCAGAGAAATGCCGCCTGTAGCATAGATAATTATCCCTTAAAGATGTTTATGTAACCTTCCCAGTGGTCATGGGTTTTGGTAAGGAAGCCTGAGGCATGATCATCCACACATGTTATTCCAAAAGCGTGCTATACAAAGTGTATTATCTGGAGGTCAGGTGCAGGGATCCAGCATCCTGTGGCTGCCTGAGACATGACATCTTTGGTAAGTTTCTAGTCCATGTTTCTTTCTGAGAAACTGTCTTTGTCAGCCTCCTTCTTCTGCCTGTGAGCCTAGGAAAGCCTTTGCTAAACATCACTAATCATCAGGAAAGTACAAATTCAAGAAACAATGGGATATAACCTCACGCCTGTTAGAATGGCTATTAGCAAAAAGACAAAAGGTAACAAGCCTAAGTGAGGATGTGAAGAAAAGGGAAACTTTGCATACTGTTGCTGGGAACATAAATTAATACAACCATTATAGGAAGCTGTGTGAGAGTTATTTAAAAATAGAATTGTCACATGATCCAGTAATATCACTACTGCATATATATCCAAAAGAAATAAAATCAATCTGTCAAAGATATATCTGCACCCCAATGTCCATTGCAGAACTAATTACAGCAGCAGGGTGTGGGAACAGCGTAAGTGTTCCTCCAAGGCTGAATGAATGACGATAATGTGGTATTGATACGTAGTGAAATACTATTTGTCCCTAAAAAAGAATAAAAACCTGACATTTGCTACAACATGAATGAACCTAGGGGACATTTTGCTAAATGAAATAAGCCAGGTACAGAAAGACAAATAATGCATGATCACACTTATATGGGGAATCTAAAATCATTGAAATCATAGAATCAGAGAGTACTATGGGCTGGAAAGAGGGAAAAAATGTGAAAGTGTTGGTAAAAGTACACAGAATTTCAATCAGGTGGGATTAAGTTCAAGAAATCTATTGTACCACGTGATGGCTTTAGTTAATAATAATATATTCTTGAAATTTGGTCAGAAAATAGGTTTTTGGTGCTCTCACAACAAAAAAAATGTTAAGTATGTGAGGTAATAAATGGGCTATCTTGATTCAGCCATTTTATAATGCATACATATTTCAAAACAACATGGTGCATACAATCATCTATACTTTTATCAATTAAAATAGATAAAATAATTAAATAAATTAAAATCAATGAAATAAAATTGCAGTTCTCACCCATCCGCCCCCCATCCTCCTCCCCAGTCAATGTCTACCCATACAGTGGTGGTGTGGAGTCAGCTCTCACCAGCTCATGAGAGAGTTGATTGTTACATTTTCTGAAAATGTGGGACTCTGTTTTCTTTCCTTTCTCTCTCTCTTTTTTTTTTTTTTTTTTTTGTATTGATAGCATGAAACTGACCACAGTAGGGACATATACACCACATAAATTGACAAATTAGGAATTTTTTTTAAAGCTTTCAATAGTCTTTAATTTTATAAAATTTTAACTTTTCTAAACACAAAGACCATTCTAAGAATTAATCTTTTAAACGCTAATAATTATGAAACTACAAATTATAAAATAAGAAACTTAACACTTATAATCACAAGGGGCATCATAGTTAGTCCTTCCACTACATGTAACACTGGGGTATAGTTTCAAGATTGAATAGACTATTATAATACACAGATGGTGGGGAATCGACCCCTTCAGTGTACTAAGATTTTTCTGTTTTTTTTCCTTCAACTTTTAAGTTGAGGGGTACATGTGCAGGATGTGCAGGTTTGTCATACAGGTAAACATGTGCCATGGTGGTTTGCTGCACAGATCAACTCATCACCTAGGTATTAAGCCCAGCCTGCAGTAGCTATTCTTCCTGATACTCTCCCTTCCCTGCAACACCATCCGATAGGCCCCAGTTTGTGTTGTTCCCTCCATGTGTCCCTGTGTTCTCATTGTTTAGCTCCCACTTATAAGAGAAATTTGGCGTTTGGTTTCCTGTTCCTCTGTAAGTTTGCTAAGAATAATGGTCTCCAGCTCCGTTGATGCCCTGGCAAAGAACATAATCCCATTCTTTTTTATGGCTGCATTATATTCCATGGTACCACATTTTCTGTATTCAGTTTATCATTAACGGGCATTAGGGTTGATTCCATTCTTTGCTATTGTGATTAGTGCTGTAATGAACATATGTGTGCATGTATAAGATCATGATTTATATTTTTTGGGCATATGCCCAGTAATGGATTGCTGGGTCAAATGGTATTACTACTTCTATATCTTTGAGGAATCACCACACTGCCTTCCACAATGGTTGAAGTAACTTACATTCCCACCAACAGTGTAAAAGCATTTGTTTTTTTCCACAACCTTACCAGCATCTGTTGTTTCTTGGCTTTTTAATGATTTCTATTCTGATTGATGTGAGATTTTATCTTATTGTGGTTTTGATCTGCATTTCTCGAATGATCAGTGATGTTGTGCTTTCTTTCATACATTTGTTGGTCACAGGAAAGTCTTTTTTTGGGAAGTGTCTGTTCAAGTCCTTTGCCTGCTTTTTAATGAGGTTGTTTGCTTTCTTCTTATAAATTTGTTGATGTTTCTTGTAGACTCTGGGTATTAGACCTTTGTCAGATGGACAGATTGCAAAAATTTTCTCCCATTCTGTATGTTGTGTGTTCACACTGATGATAGTTTCTTTTGCTGTCCTGAAGATCTTTGGTTTAATTATATCCCATTTATCAATTTTTGCTTTTGTTGCCATTAAGGAAGAACCAGAAGAGTTAACATTCACCAACACACCATGGTCTCCACAACACTCACCACCTTCTGATATGTGTCATAGT